CTCACACCCCCACCTGGACCTCAGGTGGAGTGGCTCTCCCTGGCACCTGACCTCTGATGATGCAAGTTACTGGCCATGGATGGTGGACCATGGTCCCAACTCTCTTCTCTCAAGAGCTTCGTCGCCACCAGTCTTTTCTCATACTTGGTACCCCACCTTGTCACTTCTCTGTTTCCTAAACACCTGTTAAGCCTGATTTTTAGATGTGGCCTAGAGTTGTTTGGGGCCTGCCTCCGCCTCATGCCCGTCTTACTGTATTTGTCTTTTCCTTACCCGTGCTCTTCCTCTGCTGGGACTCCAATGTGCCAGAGCCTGGCTTACAAGTCCGTCACCGTCCCCCTCCTCTGCCTGTGCTGTCCTTTAGCACTTGCCAGTGCTGAGCTCCCTTCTCCTGCCACCACTTGCTTCCCCGTCGTCCCCGGGGCCCTCCCAGCTCTCCTTGCCCTCAGTGCTCTTGGCACCCTTATGGCCATAGCCTCTGTCCTCCTGGGTGATCTGCTCCTGTCTCAAGCACCTGGGGGCCGCTCACCTTATGCCAGACACCCTGAGCCCAGCACTCGGGGACCTTCAGCCTGTGGCCTATGACAGTCTCTTGGTGTGTCCTTAGGTGAATTAGAAGCCCATCATAGCCCTAGGAGCAGGGCAAATGACCATGACCCTGGAATCCAGTTGGTGGCCACAATCTTGGCTCCCTGGAAGGTCTGTCAGAAGCTGTCCCCCCTTTTTTTTTATTGGTTGTTCACAACATTACAAAGCTCTTGACATATCATATTTCATACATTAGATTGAAGTGGGTTATGAACTCCCAATTTTACCCCAAATGCAGATTGCAGAATCACGTCGGTTACACATCCACAATTTTGCATAATGCCCTATTAGTAATTGTTGTCCCCTTGAGCAACAGGTTTGAAGGAGGTGCCCTCCTCCCTTGGGAAGGCTTTGCCAAGTCCCGGCTGGCACTGTCCTCCTGGGCTCTGGGAGCCTGGAGGAAGGTCAAGCTTTAGACCACAGAGCCCTATGTGATGACCACCACTGACCTTGAGTGAAGGGTACCTTTGCTCATTGCCCGGTTCTCTCCTTTCCTCAAATCCCACCACTCTACTGCTCACTCATAGCCAGGTGGCACTAAGGTCAGCCTGGCTGCTGCTGCCTCTGTCCCTGGCCTGGGTGGCCTCTTCCCATCACCCAGTGCCAGCAACCCAATGTCAGCCTGCTTTTCTTACTGACCTTCATCCCCAGGATATACATGGGTATTTGAAAGCAAGGGCCAGCATGCGGGCTCCCTGCTGGGCTCCCGCCTCCCTCCTTGCTCCCCATGGGGCTGTACCCCTGTGGTATAGGAGACTCCTTGCCTTTCATCTGATCCACTCCACTGTCCACCCTGAACAGTGACAGTGGCCGAGAACCCCCCAGCTCCCAGGGACCCTGAATCAGACTCTGATATGGACAAGTCCAGTGCAGTGGGGTGGCCTTGCCTGGACTTCTGGGACCCTTTTGCCCATGGAGGCTCCTGTCACGTGCCCCGACTCTCCAGAGTCTTGCTGGTTCCTGTGCTCCTGCCTGTTGTGCCCCTCTCTTGTCTGAGCAGTGTTTGGGTCCAGTAAAGCACGTTTTCCAGGCAGTCCTGCTGCCTTTTATGCAGGGACTCAGGGGTCAATGGAGGGTATCTTTGAAGACCCCAAGTGTCCCTCCCAGCTCCTGCTCTGTTTCAGATCAAGCCCTCCAGAGGAGACCACGAGGAGCCAGACAAAACCAGCCAAGGGCTGCCTCTTCCAGGTGTTTGAAGTAAACTTTGCTTATTGAAACCTCATCTCTTTTTAATTTTTTTTAGTTGTAGACGGACACAATATCTTTATTTTTATTTATTTATTTTTTATGTGATGCTGAGAATTGAATCCAGGGCCTCACGCATGTGAGGCAAGTGCTCTACTACGAGCTACAACCCTAGCCCTATGTCCTCTTCTTAACACTAAACTCCCCACTCAAAGTCATTCCTGTTCACTATCTTTGACCTTCTGTGTCTGAGGCTGCATGAGCTGGAGTCTCCCCAGTGCACACACCCAAGGGGGCTCTCCCACGAGCCTGCCTTGCCTCCTGTACTGGAGATGCTATCTGGGGAGTTGCCCCAGCACGTTCCTAACCAAGGGAAATAGATTTCCTCTGCAATTAAGGAAAATTTCCAGATAACTCATTCCTGCAGGACTCAAAACAATCCCTGAAAACTGTTTTAAATTCTGAACTTCCTCATCTGAGAATAAAAACTTCCTCCTGCTAGGAAGAGACTGAGGTGCCCTGGCCAAATCTGCAAGAATGGACTTCTTGTCTTTTATCTGGCTTTGCCGCCTCTTCTTTTGTAAAAGCTTTCTTCACCCCTGAGTTCTCTGATGATGATGATTTCAGACCAAACAAAAGGTCCCCTCTGTCTCCCTTTAAAGCTAACTTTATATGAACCTGTTTTTCTGCCAGTTTGAATCCCAGTATTTGTGGCACAGCCAGTGGCAGGGTCTAGCCTCTTTCCCCATGGTAGCAGTTTGAAAAATTAGCAGCCAGAGCAAGTATGGTGCCCTGGGACTGCACAGCTATGGCGGCAGTGTCTCTAAGGAAGAGGAGCTCCACTGCTCTGGCCAGTGGAACCTACCTGCAGGCGGAACTCCAGGGGAATCCCAGCAGCTTCCAGAAATGTCATCCATCTTGGGTTTCCCATCCTTCCTGTGGAATACTCAGCCTCTCGAAAATGTTTTGGGGGTAAGGACAGGGAAGTTTTGGTTTGGACTGATGAGTCCAGCTGGGTTTTCTCTTCAGGGAGCCACTGAGACCCTGAGTGGTTCTTTTTGCAGTTCTGGGTGTTGTGCTGTCTTGTGGGGCTGTGATAAACCATTTGCTCCTGAGGTACTGGTTGATAAGATGACGATCAGAGGACAATATTTCCCAGTAATTATATTTATTTGGAGTTCATTGCTTTGGTTTGAAAAAAGATGACAGCATGGCCTGTGTTATGGTTTGGACGTGAGGTGTCCCCCAAGGCTCCTGTTAATGCAGGAATGTTCAGAGCTGATGCAACTAGACTGTGAGAGCTGTAACTAATCAGCCATGCAGTGAGAATGGGCTGACTGGGTGCTAACTATAGGCAGGTGGGGTGTGGATGGAGGGGTGGGCACTGGGGTTGGTCCTGGGAGATGCATCTTCCCTGTGGCCTCCTCCTTCCTCTCTGCTTCCTAACCCACTGTGAGCTGAGCAGCTTTCCTTCCCCCATGAAGTGATGCCTCACCTGGGCCCAGAGCAATGGAGTTGGCCGTCTGTGGACTGAGACCTCTGAGACCATGAGCCCCAATAAACCTTCCCCCCTCTACGTGGTTCTCCTTGGTATTTTGGTCACAGTGACGTAAAGCTAACACAATCTATACATCCATGGAGAGCATGCTGGGCCCTGTTCTGAGCTACTCCGTGACGTATAGAACAGCAGTTTCCAGGCTGTGCCTAACGCTTTGTTGCTCCATCTTGTAGAGCAGTAGTTTGCCATGATCTACTCCACTTTGAATTCAACTGCTGAGGTGGATGACTCCACACTTTGTCCAACCATCACCTGCTGGGCACCACTATAAGGCACAAACTGGTAAATAAATTACTCATGCAAATGAGAATGAC